GGAATTCCTATTTGTGGATGTAGGGAAGAATCTTACCAATGTAGGCTCAAATGCAGGCCATAGAAAGGACGTCTGAGCCATACATCATTCGGCGGGACCTGGTCCATAATTAAAACTTCGTCTGCTGATGACAGGTATGAAGAATTCCTTTCTTCAGTGCTTCACATACTGGGTTTTTTATTACTTAAGACACATGATTAGTCTTGTGGGATGGAGATTGCATAAAATGCATTATTGCTGGCTACCATGTCACATCCAAGACTCAGTATACGAACACCTGATTTTTTTTGTTCCTTATTTTAAAAAGTCATACTTAAAAAATAATGCAGATACTCCTTTACTAATTTATTTATAACGTTTACTGCTAGTGTAAGCAAAGCAGAACTCCATTCTGACAACTGACTAGGGCAAAGGTAGCCTTTCTGCAATGACTTCAAACACCAGTTGGAGGTTTCACATAGCTTCCTACTAAACATCATCAAAAGACATTTTAGCCAAAGGAATGTATTGCAGAATATTTCATTCAGCCATGCGTTCAATGTATGCGACGTACACGTAAAAGTTACATACTCTATTCTCTGCCCTCTTCAAGATACTTGGAAGAACACGCTACAAAATAATCACAGAAATGGCCTGTTACGATCCATGCAATACACCTGCCAATATGCTGCTACACAAAGCTGGAAAAACTGATGTTATAGCAGTATTCCAAGGCAAGCACATTATATAAAAATTATTAGGTAGGTTGGCATTACTTTCAGACTTCAAATAATAATAATCATTATTTTTTTTAAACACCTACTCTGGATTATCTTGGATATCTGTTATATAACAACCGTGGTACTCCCACAGCAATTTCAGCAGCTCAGCTGTGACTGTACACACATCTTTCATAACCTTCTTGGTGGTTTTAATCTACCTCAAACAATTATTGCTCTAATAAATACTTCTTGCAAATGAAAAAATCATTGTGGTAATCATGCAATAATATTTTTCTACATTACTATAAAAATACCAAAATAAACCAAAGCTGCTGGTTTTTCCGCAATCTTAACCAAGGTCATTAAGTCCTCTGGAACATAAAAAAGCAGTACCTACCTGTTAAAAAAACATCACAGGTAAGCCATCGTTAACCTTTGCTGGCTATTTGAACAACGCTTGCTCAAGTTCCATGTTTAGCCAGATCAAATTGATACTTGGCACCAATGATGCTTTTTGTGTTCAAACAGCACATGGAAATTACTCTTCACACTACTACTGCATATTGTCCAGTAGTAAAAAACCATGACATTACAGTGATTATTATTTGCATTACAGAGTGCCTGCAAGCACCACTCATCAAGCTACTGTATCAGGACAAAACGATCATTCCTGTCTCAGGGAGCTTACAACGGGTGTACAGGGAGGTGACAGATGGATGCAGATAGACTGGAGGGTGTAATGAAACACTGGGACAGTTTTCATTAGCACAATAGGTATGACTCATAGCACACCAGTAGCTTAAAATATTAAACTTCCGTAGACATCAAAGCCAAAGGGTTTTAATGAGGGATGCAGAGGACACCTAGGAGGGAATTTTTCAGAAATTTATGCAACCAGTCTTCAGGAACAATGGGCAAGTGGAAACAGAGCATAAAGAATGTTTATTTGGAAAACTAAAATGGGGGGCATAGAGGTTGACCTGGTGGGACGATCAGACCAGGAGGTAACTTAGATAACTTCCCATTTGAGTGAGAGGGATGGGGTAACCGCAGGCTTTGGCAGTGATGTGCAAGTGAAGAGAGCAGCTTTACATCTAATGCAACAGAGATGGCAGAGCCAGGGCAGTAACGCAAAGCAGGAAGCAACAAGTCAAAGCAACAGACTAACGAACAACCTACCTACTCTGCAACTTTCTGAATGGCTATGAAATGTAAGTTGTCTAGCTGTCAAGGACAGAAAAAGAGATGACACCACAGTTCAGAGCAGTATGATGAGCCTGGATTAGACTGTAAATTGTATGACCAGGTAGGAAAAACAGTGAGAGATGCTGTAGAAGAACGAAGACTGGGACAGAGCCAACATAGGAGGTTTCAAGAAGGACATCCAAGTCAAAGCTGCTGACTAAGCACAATCTTACCGACAAACAGGACAGCAGAAGCAGAAAGGAAACTGTGAGGGGTATAGAGCCGGGGATGCTCAGTTGCGTTGAGGCTGAAGCAACAGCTCTTTATCCATGAGGTGTCAGATATGCAGACTAAGCTTTTTGGCAAAAGGCTACTTCTATTCTCACCCCTGTGCAAAAGGCAAATCAGAAACCAAAGCCTGTTTCTTAACCTGATTGGTAGTGCAAATAAATCCCAACCATTCTTACCCATGCAACTGTTATGGAGAAGACAGGTGGAATTTTGGAAGAGGTTAACTATCCATCTGTGAAACAACGGTTAGATTGAACAGAAAGACACAGGCTAACAAAGCACACAAAAACCCACTTTGAAAACCCACCAATATGCTTGCTTCATTTCTTTGTTGTCACCTGAAATACTGGAAATCCTCCAAGGTCCAGCAGGAGGAAAAAGTAAGAGGGCATTTAGCTTTAGAATGCAGTAAACCAGCTTTTTTTCAGAAGACACGTCTATAGGATTGTCACGCAAGTAATAATGAATCTCAACAAGCAGCATCAGCGTGGCATGCCAGAATACTTTTAAGCAGAGGGCAAAACCGAAGAGAACCACTCCATCGATTCTGTTTTCCATAAGGCTTCATTCTATTTTGATAGACACACACCCGTGAATATCCTCATGGGCATTTTAAAAGCTGTAATTTCAACTCTGAGGTTTTGCAAGCTTTGTTTTGTGTGGTGTATGATATCATAAACATCCTGAATATAATTACAACTGCAATTTTGTGGGCTATATTTTCCCTCTTGGTAGCCCAAAGCCAAAGCTTACAAAAACTTTTCAGCATGCTTATTTGATTTGAACTTTTTATTATTATTACAAATGTATATTATTTTATTAAAAAATTCACACTGAAGCAAAGTCAATTCCATTTCATTACAACCAAGAATATAAAAGAAATGCAATGAACTCATAGTTTAGTTTTAACAGTCATTTCAAGGGTGACATCAGGACAACTTAAAGGCAGTAAACTCCCAACTCTAGAATGAGAAGCAAGTACTTTGCTTTGTGGTTTTGCTAGCCCATTGGCACGGGCACTGCCAAATGTGGCCACCACAGATCTAGAGCGGCAAAGTTTTGTGGCAGCATGAGGCGCATACACAATAATTTCTAATGAAAACTACAAAAATGAAAGATGCGTGCATGAAATTATGAGAAAAAACTGAATAGAGACAGGCACACTTCCACAAATAGTAAACATGGGAAAATACAACTAGAACAATTTGAAAAGTTACTACCTTACATATATAAAAAGTTCTTTAAATTGCTGTTAAAAAGGACATGTTCTGTCCAGATTTTGTGTAATACTTTTTAGTGTCTACACAAGACAAATTTTTAAAAAAATTAAATAGTATTAATTTACTACTAAATATTTAGGAGATAACAGTGCATTAAGGACTTTTTTTCATATAGTAATACACATCGCTCCTGTCTGGCGACATTTTTAGAAGATTACGTATGGCCTTATGTACAATACATTTATTTAATCCTAAAACAATTCTTTGCTTAATGGTGTTAAAGTACCATTCCTGAAGATTATGAAGGGGAACTAAGCTTATTATGTTTATATAAAATATTATACATATTTGAACACTTCTAGCTTCCCGCCACACCTCCCGCTACGAATGCTCTTCCCTCCCCCTCCCCAGATACAGTGTCACAGATACAGTGCAGGACTCACAGCTTTCCCTATATTTTTCCTTCATTGTGCAGTCTGTGCTACATAAACCTCGCAAATGCGGACCAGGCTGCTCATCCTATTCATTCCCCACGCGTTTGTTTCCTCTGAGCCACAGTGGGAACAGCTGTACTCAGCAGTCCGCTCTCCCACCAGGCGACCAGGATGGAGAAGACAGCTCTGCCGGTGTCACCTGCCACTCTCGGTACCGGTGTGAACCACTTTCGTGAGGGTGTATATCTAGTTTATGGGCAGAGACAGAGCTGCGAGTACTAATGAAACTGCACAGGCAAAAAATAACATAAAAATGACGTGGTCCTGGCTTCCCACGACACACTGCACGATTCACTTCTGAAAGCGGAGCGTTTTTACCTCATGGGATGACCCCCCTGGAAAGCAAGGCTTCTTCCACTATGACTGCCACCCACCCCGGCAACACGCATCAAGCTCCCAAGAAAAGGCGAATTATTTCACCGCCAGGAATGAACTAGAAGAGTGTGCACTGCCTACATTTCGCAGCAAACATGCTTTTGCTTTTATTCGCTCTCCTCCCAGTTGTGAGTTTGAAGGCAACGGAGGAAGTCAGCTCGGCTTCACGTGTGCACACAAAAGCTAGAGAGGAGCGGCATGTGGTCGCCTATCAGCCCTAATCAAGACAGAAACGCCAGTTCAGCTTAGAGAGAGGTCGTGGCAGTTGCTCTAGAAGCTGGAAGTTCACTCAATTAAAGCACCTTACATTGCTGTGAAGCTTCACACTCTACATACAGATTAATCTACACCATGATTTTGCCTTATTGGCACAAGAGCCCACCTTAATTAACCGTACGGTGACAAGTCTCCCTGCCACCTCCTGACGTTGTATGAATTTTGATGATCAGCTGCAGGTCACACTAGGGAGAAGAAATGTTAGGTAACTATAATGGAAAAGACAAAAGGATTTTGTCTTGAGAGAACAGAAGGGTGAAAACAACAGGAGGGGACAAAAATTACTCTGCCAAAGGTTAATTTCCAGAAATGTGACATTCAAGTCACAAAAATATAAAACAAATGTTACTTTATGGCATTGGCCAAATTTCCATTAGCTCAAAGGTCCCTCATCCTAAC